AATTCAAACTGATGTTTGAAAAACCCCAGAAATAAAGTGTACCCATAGGCATCGGTGTTCTCCAGTATCAGTGGCTTTTTAAGGAACTAAATTTCTGATTTGCATTGTCCCTTTACAATTGTTGTCACTGCTCACAGTTTTAAATTCTTAATGAAAAAAAAAAAAAGTTACCTATGTGGAATTCTTCCCCACACTGGGATATCCTTCTAGCTATGAAGCATTGTTGGCTTGTAGCTATTTTCTCTATAAATATAATCACAAGCATTCTGATAGGCATTTAGAGTTTATTTGCTGCATAATGTCAGTCTTCTAATTACATTTGCCGTTCTAAGCCTCTTGAAGCTCTTCAGCAATATGAAATTGATGGTGGATTTTTCACTGGAGTTCAGAGCCACCTTGCGGCGGCCCAGCCAGCGTGGATGCCCGTGTTCCTTACGGCTCCAAAGCTGGAAAGCTCCACCTGTGGGGTTACAGCAGGAAAAGCTGCAAGTACTTTATAGATCCTGAGAGGTGCTGCTGAAATATTCTTTTGAATAATTTTTTATTTTACTTTTGGGTGGCACGAAGAATCATGCCTGGATATCTGGTTTTGTCTTTCCATGAGCAAAGCACTTCGTTAAATAGAAAAATAATCATCCGAATGAGTAATTATGTTGATCGTCTCATCAGTGCCATGCCATGAAAGGTAGGGAAATACACAGCTTATTCATTTCAAAACACACGGCTCTGTTGTTCACCCAGAGTGCTGCTAGCAATTATCTGTGTGCCTTGGCGTACAGAAAGCAAACTGTGTGGCCCACATTCATACTCTGTAACTTTCGGAATTCAAAGCAGGGTGGCCTCATCCAAACTGTCTACTGGTCCCAACTTCCAAGCTATGCTAGGGAAATGCTCTGTGAAGGTCCAGCTAACCCAAGTCAAATCCATACCAGGGGCTCTTCTTGTAACTAAACAGCGCAGTTACAGTTCCAGCACCCAATTATTATCTGAGCCATAACTGCTTAATTTTCTAGTGAAGTCTTGCATCTGTACTCGTCCACACAGTTACGCTGAAGACAAAAAAGGCCTGGTGTTTCATCTCTCATCTTGCAAGAAAGACTGCAGTAAAGTCTGTGTAATTCCTTGAGCTAGGGTTTCAAATGGGTTTTTTGGGTTTTTTCCCCAGAGGCTTTATATCGGGAGACCCAGCCCTGTGACTCACTTAGGCTGAGATCACACTCATTTCACTGTCCTAGGGTAGACTCCAGCGATGGACTCTGGAGGGAACACCTAAGTCACTGTGGTTATCACACATTTACACTTAGATGTGTAATACCTGTGTCTTGGTCACGGCCTGGGTTTCATACTTAACGTAAATTTGCTACAAGCCCCCTTTCTCCTGCAGTGGATTTAGCCTGTAAGTATCAGTGCACTGTGCGGTACCTGCCCTCAGCTGTCTAAGTGGAAGTGAAGACACCCTTAATTTAAATTGTCTTTTCAGTTATATGTATTTGCCTCTTCTCTGGAGCATTCTTTCTTCAGCCCATACATGGAAGCATGAAGTGAGCCAGTTTTGAGAACACTGGAATTCAGGGGTAGAGTTGTACATAGGAATCCTTTTCTCTTCCTGCTTGGATCGGTGCCTCAGGGAAAATGGGGATCTGACCAGCACAGCAGTACTGCGAATGCAACGGATAGAGGAACTGCAGCATTACTGTCAATGAGCACAGTGGATAATAACTTGTGGAAGTGCTTAGGCTTCCTTCTTGGGGTGGTGACTGAGAGCAGGGGTGGAAAACCTGGAAAGAAAATAATGAAAATATTTTGGTAGCTTTTTTGCTGTCCTTAGGGAATTTCATACAGGACCAATTCTGTATTCAAGCATGGTCGTGGTCTGGAAGGCACCGAGGAGTGTAGCCAGCTCACATATTTTAGGGCTGATCTTGAACTTTATGTTGTATCTTTTATATTTTCTAATAAAATTTGCATGATATGCTAAACTATACTTTAAGCAAGCTGAAACCACTTCCAGTAATCCCTAAATGCACTCTCTAAGCAGACCATTAGTTCTGCACCACATACATCTGTATGACTGATGAAGAAAGTATGAAGTAGGAGAAAGAAGACACGACTGCTTTGCTTTCATTGCTTGTGCTGGTGGTTTTGAGATTAAAACTCAGCCTTTTGTTTTTTACTTGATTTAATCCAATTGGCATTTTTTGTTGCTGAGAAGACAATTCCAGTCAATTACTGGAGATTGTTTCCAGATTATATTCCCCCCCGCTCATTTTGCTAAACAGATTTTCTAAAGGGCATGTCTGTAACGCAGATAATTTGTGTTTGAGCATAAATCTGTACCAAAAGCATGAAAGCTCAGTGGGGAAGGTAATCTTTCTCCTTTTTGTCAATAAGTAGGCAAGTAAGTACATTGCCTGCTGTGGCATAACGTGCTGAGGGAGCCGTATGTGCCGGGAATGGCATACTGAGTCCTGCACACTGGCTTGTACTGTAACGCTAGCAACAAGCATCCTGCAGTCCTCAGTGAAGTATGGAAAGCAAGAGCTAGCTAAATATGAGCAGTTTACAGGCTAGTGCTAAAAAGCTTTGAGTAGATGTGGGAGGACAGGCAGAAATGCTAAGTTTCTGTGTCTCTAAGCTGCTCAGAGTTTCTGGTATATATAGGAACCGGACCAGTTGTTGCATGTCACAGCAGGTCCATTGCTTTCCAGTGTCCCTCAAGAAAAATGGAGTTCAACTCTCAGATCCCCTTGTGATCAGGGCTTTCAGCAGAGAAGCCACACTGATGTCCCTAGAAACTGGAATGGCAAGGCACAAAAAGGGAAGATCATAGAATCATAGAATCATACAATGGTTTGGGTTGGAAGGGACCTCAAAGATCATCTAGTTCCAACCCCCCCTGCCATGGGCAGGGACACCCTCCACTAGACCAGGTTGCCCAAAGCCTCGCCCAACCTGGCCTTAAAGATGAAAAAGACCTGTGTATATTCTTACAGAAGTTTAGGTTAAGCACAGTGCACGTGAAAGCACATCATCCCAAAGAAGAAATGTTGTCATGATCCTGAAGAGCTGCATGGGACCCACTGACATTGCTCTTCTAGGGAATAAGTGGGACAAGTCAGAAGCTGATGACTTTAATTTTGTCAAATTCCTATGGCAAGACTGTCAGATTCATACTTGAATAGGACTCAGGAAGGAAATACGGTCTGGCAGAGTAAAATTAGACCACCACATAAAACTAAAGTGGCTTCAGGTCTTCAGGTGACTTCAAATAAAACAAAAACAAGTTCCTCATCCTTAGGCTAAAATTTTTACACCTAAAAACCCTCATTTCAGTTGAGGAACTCTTCTGTAGCTATATGAAATAAATGGGCTGACCACATAACTATACTAATCAGCAGTATCTGCATCACCAATAATGCATTTGGAAACATTGCCTTCCCTCTGCAGAGACACCAAATTCATTTACCCCAGTTGCCTTTGTTCTCAGCTTTTAGTGGTTGCAGACACCTTGTAGTCTTTACCTACCAGGAAAACAGACAGAGAGAGCGGAAATGACTTGTCCAATGCCAACAAGATATCAGGGAGTTCAGTCTTCATCTCTGGGGTTCAAGATAATATCCTTAACACTGGGCACTTCTTTCTCTTTAGAATCTCCAGTTGACAGACTTCACTTCACTACTTTGAGGATGATCAAGCACTGGAAAAGGCTGCCCGGAGAGACTGTGGAATCTCCATCCTTGGACACATTCAAAACCCAACTGGACACAGTCCTGAGCAGTCTGCTGTAGTTGATCCTGCTCTGAGCAGGGCAGGGTGGACTAGATGGTCCCTTCCCACCTCATCCATTCTTTGATTCTGCAATTCATTTCTCTACAATGCCTCAGCAGATCTGGAAAGGGGAGTCATGAGGGTCTGTCTAGCGGGTCTACTGGTTTACACCCTAGCATTGTCAGCCCCCCCCACAGAAGCAGTTTGGCACACTCAGTGCTGAAATGCTCACTCAGGTTGAGCCTTTTGCAATAGGAATGAGGAAATTTCTAAAGTAAACATGCTGTGAATTGTTAATGAATTGTGTAACTTCCACTTTATTGCCAGTAAAGTAGGTTTCTTTAAAAACCAATGATGTCATCAGATTCTCTTTGTAGATTGGTTGGCTATATTAAGAAACATCGACCTATTCCTTTAAATACTGTGATCGTCATGATAGCCTTTGAAGAGTGGTGGTAAGTTCTCCCTGCAGGAGAACCAGGGACCTAAGGAAGCTGAGGTGGCAACAATATTAGTAGAAACCAATCTAATACTGAACATCAAGAAAGAGAAGAAGGTTTATACTGAAAATTACTATCCTGTAAGTATAAAAATTCTATCTTATATAAATTAATCATGAATATATGAAGACTGAGAACACTTTCTTAAGTCCCACATAACAACATCTATGAGCAAAGGCACCATGGACTTACACAGGATAGCTATCGCCATTGGTAGAATTCTACTAACAGGCCATGGCAGGAAAAATACAGTGAATAATACTGATTTGGGTAGTTGTTCAGTACAGTGGTTTATACTCCATCTCATTCACAGAATTAAGTCATTCAATCTAGAAAATGAAATCTGTTATGGACTGAACACTGACCATAAAAAATGTATGAGATGATAAAACAGAAATATAGGGCACTTCAGGAATCTTGGTTACATCCAGACTTGGTTTATACCTTCATTTTTTGGTCTATAATAATAGTCAAGAGCAAAGTACTCACAATTTCAGAAGATTCTGATACCAGAGAAATTAAAAAGGGAGAAAAATAGGAAATGAAGGTAAGACAGGAGTATGGAGAGGAAAAAGGAGATAAGAGGAAGGGTTCCAAACTAATAGAATTTCTCTCCTCTTCTCCTTTTACCCTCCACAAAAGCTGAAAGAGAAAAAAAAAAAAAAAAAAAAGGAAAAAAAAAGGCCAGCATGGGAATAATCTATTTTGTACTTCATATTGTTTTTTCAAGGAATGACTGCTATTAGGAGAAAGCTAACTGTAGTCGGAGATGACCGCTGTGGTAAGACATGCTTCCTCTTTGCTTTGCGTCACGAACAGCTTCCCAAGTCCTATGAGCCAACCCTGTTTGATGCTTACACCACTGACACAGAGGTAGACGGGAAGGAGATGAAACTAATTCTCTTTGATGTGGCAGGGAAGAATGAATTCAGTTACCAAAATCTCCGCTCAGTGTTCTACAAGGACACTGACGTTATTTTAATGTGCTTCTCCGTGGACAGACCTGACTCACAGCAAAACATCCTTGATTTTTGGGTTCCAGAAATTGAACTCTTCTGCCCCAGAGTACCTATTATTCTGGTGGCTACCAAGATAGAACTAAGGAGTGATGAAGGCACGAAGAAGCAGCTAACTACTCCAGGCAAAGAGCCAATTAACACTACAGAAGGAAAAGCTTTAGCTGCCAGCATTGGGGCACATGCTTACCTGGAGTGTTCTGCCAAGACAAAAGAAGGTGTTGATACAGCCCTGGAGATTATTAGCCAATGTGCATTAAATGAGAAAAGAAGGAGAAAGACGTACTACAGGTGCTGCCGAATTTTGTAAGAGGTGAGAACATTATTTTGTTGTTGGATTTCATCATGTGGAAAGATAAGTAGATGTTTTTTGTTGCTGTAGCGTGGATGCTATAAGGGCTGCTTTTATGTTATAGGACAAAAAAAACCCCTTATGTCTGCAAAGTGTCACACTGGAAAAGTTAGATTGGTTTCCTTCTCTACCTCCAAAACAGGCTGAAGACCACAATTCCAGATGTGAGTTGAGTACTCATCTTGAGAAAGGGAAATGACCAAGCAACAGTTCTCCACAGAGATTTTTTGATCGAGGGACATACACACAGACTAGGACAGGAACCTAAACCAGAACTATTAGGACAAGCACAAGAACACGTTGCTCAGTGAATCTAGTCCCAGCTTCCTGGTTGCAAGGCTTAGTGGCAAGCAGCTGTGCTGACAAGGGTTTCTAGTACGCACTCCCTTCCATACACTTCCTTGAAGGATGTCCTTAAGGAAGGGAGTCACCACGCACATGCACAGACGTATCCAATGGTCTGCTGTGCTAATAGCAGTGGGTTTCTCACTGGCAGAACAGGTCTGACTTTCTCTAGGATTCATTTGTAGAGCTGGCCTGGGCTTGGTTCCATAAATGCATCAGGAATGCAATGTGTAGTGTAGGGTACGATAAAGGCAGTGCTATCTCCACCTCTTCTTCAGGCACAGGTAAATTAACTGAGGTAAAACAGCCTACCTCTGGGGTAGGATAATCCAGTTCTTGATAGAATTCCTACCTTAGAAGAAGAGAAGTAAAAAGACTAGACTTAAGTTTCTAAACCTCTTTGTCCTTGTGGTCTGAATGTATCTTAAATCTTTCTGCCTTTCCTTAGCACATGCAGGCAGAAGACATGAAGTAAAGGGAATGCCAACAACCACGCTCTCAGCTTTGCAAGTCATTAACAATCTGGAAAAAGACAGAAACATGTTGTCAACCTAAGCAGAAAATCTCAGAGAGGCACAGAGATTGACCAAAATAGAAAGACTTTGAGTGCATCTCCATACTCCTCCTTTCTCTGAAGCACTGATTGCTGGCAGCCCAAGGAACTGAGTTATGGACTGACATTAAAGGTGCAAGTCTGGGAGCAGGCAAATAATGTGACTGCAGGATTTGCAGGCACATGCTCTAACACAGTAAGTGGACAGAAAAACGTTTTAAGGTAAACTTCTGATCCTGAAGTAAACGCACAGGGCCAATTGAGCATAACTGCCATGATTTAAGAGAACATGGAAGTCTATCACTTTCTTTTGCTGACTTCCTCAGTGGTGGTTTCATCAATCTGGCAGCTTGGTTACAGTTTCCCAGGGGGAAACTAAATGAGAGTAAACACAAATTTCTAAACTAACTTTTCCAGGTGAGAGACCTAATAAAATACACACTTAAGATTTTTTCTTACCCATTCTTCCCACCAGTATTTGTCTATTGATGATATCACAGGTAGAAATACTGAGGTTGGACAAGTATTCATTATTGGAGGGGTTGCTGCTTTCCTTCTACATCACTTTTTAGTAGCAGTTTTGAAGTCCAGAATCACACTGTGGCATAATAACAAATGCTTCAAGGATGACATTTTACATCTCCAAAAGTACCTTTCTTCCAAGAATCTCTGAGCACTTTTCAACATGAATTACCAACCCACCTCTTGGTGATAAGTAGGCGTTATTTCCATTTTCAAAACTGAGAAACTTAAACTGCTGCCTAAAGTGACTGTGAACCATCTACTTCTTGGAGCTTTCTTTTTCTTGACTTGTTTTCCATGCCCTTTCCCTTTTCCCTCCTGGACCATTCTTAACCTCAATTTCCTCTCCTCTCTGTCTATAATAATCCCCTTGACACAACCTGGTATTGTACCCAAACTTTAAAACTATTCTCCCCATGCCACTTGGTGTGAGTGTGCTCTCCTGATTCAGGTAATAACCTACTTTAGTGCATTTCAAAGTGCTGCATTTATGTAGATAGGTTTAAATTGTTATTTCCATTTTATATGTGTATGTGTGGGTGGGGAGGATTAGACTGCAGATAAGTTAAAGAACACAAGTGTCTCAGATGGCTCTGATGTGGGGTATTGAATCGGAGAGAGGCAGTTTTGCAAAGATGCTAAGCACTTGCTGCTCCCACTACTTGGAAAGTTCAGACCACTTTGGTGAATCTGAGCTTACGCTGCCTTTTGCTCAGTAGGACACTGCTCAGCCTATTGATTGATATCTGTTTTCAATCTAAATAAACAAGTATTTTCCTCTGGAAGGGTGCTTTGTTCAAGGTAAGGGTAACTGGTTTCAGTCCCAGTATTCACTGTACGTATCTCTGAATTCAACTGTCGTTACACTGATCTTAGTTTCTATTTCTTAACGTTAACCTTTTTATTGTTTTTACGTGAGAGAAAAAGTTGACAGTCTCTTTCCACTGCATACTCCTCTGCAACTGGAAAAGAGAAATCTGTGGGAGGTTTTTCATCATCCTTTTGCTAAAGCTGCATAAATTCTCTTTTTGCCACTTTTGTCAAAAAATGCAAATGCTCCTCCTCTTTATCCATCTCAGAGCACTTTTACAAGAGCAAGTTACTATGTGGCTGTTCAAGAAATCCATTGGTCAGTTGTGCATATTCTAGGGCATCTGGCTCCCATGAGAAAACCACAGACTGGATAGCTTTTGTATTTTTTTGTATTTTAGCATTGTGATTCAGAAAGAAAGGGATATAGCGCAGTAGTCAGGATATTAGCCTACGACATCTGTATCTGGGGTTGCTTCTCTATTCCACTGCAAGCTACAGTCTGCATGATCATACAGAAGAGACTGTGCACGTCTGCACTGCAAAGCGGCTGGGAGGAAGCAGCCCCCCCATAGCAGCACGGAGCTGGATGGGTGCGAGTTCGTCCTTCCCATTTAAGACTGTGTCTTTAGGAAGCTCTGCAGCCTGCAGATGTTAGGCTTCCAACCCCAGGCCTGCTGGGATGGTGGTGGTACTCATGCATGTGAAAAGCTCGGATATTAGCCGTGGGAGAGCTGGAAAATCTGTATGAGACTGACACTGGGAAATTGATTTATGCCCATATCTTAAACCTGGAGCAAAAAATCAATGGTGATGAATCCATATAGAAGCAAACTGCCAGCAGTCAATAGCCAGGCTAGACTGGAGCCAGAAGTGCTATCCTCTGATACAAATCTATCTTCCAGTGTTGGAGGGGAGGGGAGAAGGAAAGGGAGAGGGAGAGGAAAGGAAAATCACAATTTATTTATTTATTTATTTTTACTTTTGTGAATTTAAGTATTAAATATGACTTTTTATTAAGGAAAATAAAAAGCAAAGGAAAGAAGTACTGTGGAAGAGATGATGGAAATTAACTGAACATTTGCATACCATTCAACAGAGCCATTTCTAAGATGAAATATGCTGTTTACTCCCCACCACAACAGTTTAAGACAGATGTCCAATTGAAACAGCAGGGGAATTTATACTATATTAGGTGAAGATGATGATATGCATTACAATTAATTAAGAGCTTCTTTGTGATTTCAATGAAGCAAATATGCAAATAAATTATATTGATGTCTTTCAGTAGAAATAAAGAGAAAGAAAGAAAGAAAACCCGTACATAACAACAATAAGGCAATATGTGAGAGCAATTTTCCATTTTCAGTGCAAAGATAGTTTATGTATTTCATACAATAGTGTTGTAGTAACCTGCATGCCTAAGAATGTTGTCCAGACAAGGTTTGTAGACAAGCTGATTTTGTTGGGAAAAAGACAGACTCCTGGACACTCATGTCTTCAAACTTCTCTTCCAGACCTCATCTGATAAAGGACATGACATCTCCCTTTAAAGCTCTACATACTGTGATAAGCCATGAAAGCTGTGGCAATCCAGAATGTGTTTTGTACAGAGATTTAGGCAGAACCTGTAAGCTTCAGTAACATCTACAAAGCGATGTATCAGTCGCGCTTTAGCAAAAACATACCTGCACAGCACCCAGTACAGGCTTTGGAAAGAAGAGAAGTTTGAAACAAAAAAATAAAAGCCCCATGTCTTCCTTTTCATTGCCTGTTTCAGGAATGGAGTGGAAGGAAGGTAATATGTCTTGCTTAGCAAGACCATTCTCCATTTTGTATTAGTTTCCTGCGTAAATGTCTTCCTATGGACAATCTATCAATCTACCTACTAATTCGTCTGTTTGCTCAAAATTATCATCAGACAGGAAGCATGCTGTATTTCAGGAAAATAAATTCTCCTAGGCGTTTGTCTCAGTTTTCTTCATATCTTACCACTTAATCAAATTAATTTTCTGAAACGTACTGCATCTGTTTTAAATAATTCATCAGCTTAGAGTGTATCTCTGCAATCACTCGGAGAATGACAAACTGATACAAGAGCCTGTGATTTGTTATTATGTTTTGATGGAAATAAGGGGCTGGATCATGGTATTCCTCCACAGCTGCTCAGAGTAGCATATGAAAAAGCAGAAGGACTGAAACTTGATTTGCCAAAACTAAGTTTTAGGTGTCCCTAAGGCCTTGAAAGCCTCTTTGTTCAGCTTCATCTCTGCTGGTGGACATGTCCATCATTTAAACTAACTGCACACTGCTCATGCATTCACATTTCAGTCTGCTCAATTCTCAAATACAGGCTTTATGCTAGCTACCTCCTGTGTCCGGGTGAGACAGCTTTTGGGGGGGACTTGTCTCAGCACACCCCTTGGCCTGTGCCTCTTTAGCAGATAGACTGGTAGAGGAACATCCGATTCATGAATCACACCGATGACTGGTTTCTGAGCAGTTCCATGCCATTGGGAGCGACTTTGTCAGCTCAGGTGTGTCTGAACCAAGCAGTGTCACCAGGTAGATGTGCCTAGGTGCTGGGAGCAGGGGATTTACCTGCCTGTCATCATCCACTTTGGTTGAGAGGCAGTTTGCAAGCTTGAAGGCCATAAAAAGAGCAATCTTCTCCCTTTCAGTGCTTTTACTCAGGCAGCAGGATCGCCTTTGCAGAGGCTGTCCTTGG